TCTCTTTTCTTTCTCTTTTAAAACTCATTTTATACAATCAAAGGCAACTTTTGTCAGAGAAGCTGTCTCCAAAAGGGACCTTCCTGAGCTCCGTTTCGGATCTTGCCACGTCAGGTGTGGTCAGAGTGCAATGCTAGCCAGCATGACCCTGTTAGTATAGCTGGTGTGCTCTCCTCCACTGGTCTAGCTTGTCAGCTATAGCTGTTCTGCTTAAGGTGGGTGATTCATATCTGAGGCTAACATAGGGATACTATATTTTAAATACCGTGTGTTTCTTTTTATTCTTGAACAGCAGCATGAAGCCATCCTGAAGGGCAGTAACTTGGCAGTTGCTGAGGAAGGCAGGTGTCACTGATTTGCTTGGGACTCCAGCTGGAAAGATTTGGGATTTGTCACTAATTCAGACAACGTGTTATGTTCATTTTGGTATACCTTAGATTGCCTGTTTAATAAGGAATGAACTTGAACTGTTTGGGTTAGGATGTTTGTGCTGATTCTCCTTTGTTCTCGGGGACAATATTCTCAAGAACCAGAACAGCTTAATCTAGTCTTACTTGGGACAAAACTTCCATGCAAGTAAGAGACTCTAGGAGTTGGGTGTTTTCACAGTACATTGATGCTGAGCTCTATGGGAGCTTCTCCTGATGTCCTGTATGTTTGATCTGAAATATTGATGGTGTCTGGACAATGAAGATAGCTTTCACAGAAAAGCCTCGGGTCTAGCAGTAATTGTTCTCTCTTATTTATTTATTTATTTATTTGTGTGTAGTGTGTATATGCAGAAATTCATAAACTGACTTGTCTGAAAAAAGCACTTTGTCTTTCTCATGCTTTAAGGCCAAGTAAACAGATTAGGTGTATTTATTAGTTCAAACAGCTTGAGTGAAATTGGAAATGTAAGATAGCAAGAAATGAACATGGTAGGGGGGTTTAGCTGGAGCTTGAGAAACAGGGATTTCTTTCTGGCTCTGTGTTCTCAGTTGATTCCAAATAAATCATGTTAAGAAGATTATTTTAAATCAATGTCTATATCAATAATTTGTTTGGAATTATTTAGGTAGTAAAAGCAATGCTTGTGTTTCAACTGAACAAGCAGTTTCAGCATCACTGGGGAGTGTCTGCCCTCTTTAGGTGGTTTCCCTTGAAGTCTCGGGGAAGAGAGAACGCTTGTTGCCTGGAACAGCAGCAAGTGAAGACTGGCGTTGAAAGTCTACTTTTTTGGTTCATTACTGTTTGTTGAAGAAAGTGAATGTGGTCAGGTACTGGAAGAAGCATTGCTACCTTCACAGTTACAGAGATGTGTTCAGCTGTGGCTGGGCTGTAGCTGGAGTTCACTTGATTTCCAGGGAGCACAGGGGAAACAAGCAGTGGTGCCAGGACTGACTCTGTGTGTGTGCGTGATCTCACTCTCTCTATATCCATAAAACCCAGGAAGAGTTTCAGTTCTGATTTCTCTTTAAACTGTTGGTTAAAAGAGTTGGTAACTCCTTCCTGGGTCGTGGACATGCTGTATGGGGTCTGTCCTTACCGACTTTGCTTAAGTACCAACTTGGGGCATGGTGTGAGGGGTCCTTGGTCCAATGCAGCCTGGCTGCTTTGCAGTCTAGTCCTAGACTGCTGCCTGGAGGCTGATGCTCAGGAAGAAGCATCACATTTCTTGTGGACATGTGTCTATAGAGTCGTAATGTTTAAGTTACAACATGCACACCAGTGTGACAAATATTTGTATCTGTTCGTTAGTTCAGAGAAAAGAACAAGGATGTTTTGCTTGTCTGATTGCTTGGGACTAAGCAGTACTGCTCAAGCTTTTAAAACATTTACAAACTTCTGTAGGAGTTAAAACAAAGAAATAAAATAATTTATTTGCTCAAAAAGATTTCTAGAGGTCCTTAAATATACTTGGGCTTTGAAAAGGTGCTAAACTCATAGTTGAACTTTTGACAATTCTTTGTTAGAGCACATTTGCACAATGTAACATTGTCTAATTTTTTTCTCACTTTTTTGAAGTTTGCCAGCTCAGTTTTGAGTCATGGGGGAAAAAACAGCTTTCCCATATAAGAAGATATCATTAATTGATCCAATATTTTGCTTTTTTTTTTTTCTTTCCCTCAACTAAAGGTAATTTTTCTCTTGCATTTTTTTTCTTTCTTGAAAATCAGCACCCCAATCTGATGAAGGTTCTGATATTGATTCTGAACCAGATTTACCATTAAAAAGAAAGCAACGCCGTAGCAGGACAACCTTCACAGCAGAGCAACTGGAAGAGCTGGAAAGAGCTTTTGAGAGGACACACTACCCTGATATTTATACCAGGGAAGAACTTGCGCAAAGAGCCAAACTCACGGAGGCTCGTGTCCAGGTATGTGTTTAAAAGCTGCCTAACAAAGGGGATTTCCTTTTCTGCAGAATGTCAGTCCTCTTGTATTCTTATGTGATCCTACTCTGGTGATGAAAGAAAATGTGAAGTTCCATTTGTTTACAGTGTTAGGAGTTTTTGCATCGGTACACGGATGTTGGTTTTCTAACTGTTTAACACAACTGCTCTGAAAAAAAAAATAAATTGTTTTCCCCAGTAATTGTTCCATAGCTACTGCGAATAGAATACTGAGCCTTTGGAGAAGATCGATTATCCCAGTTTGTTTATTTTATGCATTTGACAGCACTCTGCATATAATCAGGTCAGCTGTTGTGCCAGTTTATAGTTATTTAACTAATTTCATCTGTTGTTGTCTGCGTCTTTCAAGAGAGAAAAACATTTTAAAAAGGACGATGTGTCTATAGAGCTGTAAGAGCAAGCAGGATTTAGTGCACTATCTACAGTTTACTTTTAGATTAGCTTTTGAAGTTGACTTGATTTAAACCTTGTAATATCTCTTTTATACCCACTGTCAGTTTAATTAAAAATAAAATAAACTCTCAAATGACTGTTAGGTCTTCACAACTTCATTGTCTAAAACAAACTAATGTGCTAGAGGAGTAAACTGGGGAGTTGATTTAAATTTAAAAAAAACCCCACAAAACAACAAACAAACAAAAAAACCCCGCAAAACCCCAAAACAACAACATGAACATGGATTTTCAGATGTCCAAAGCCGAGCAAATAGGAGGCGAATAATTCTAGAATAGACTGTACCCAGGAGTTCAGGTTCAGACCAGGATTTACTCTGCTTCACGGCACAGAAGCGTGTCCTGTAAAATGTTCGATACCGCAGGCAGAATCCCCTGCTGTTCTTTCACTGCTTGACGTCCAAGAATCCTTTGGAAAAGTTGCAAGTGTTCATAAGCAAATGTGTGGTTAGGTGACAAGACAAAATGTTGTAGCTTGTGATCTAACCAAGGAAGAGAAATGCATGGTAACTTGTCATCTAACCAAGGATACAGGTGAATTTGGTCGCTTTGGTGAAACTCTTCTTATGTTTTGACCTTTGGAGCCCAGCCTGAGGCATTCAGACTCTGCAAACTGAAATAAGCAATACAAAATATCCCTCTGACTTTTTAAGACAAGAATGCAACATGGCTGTATTATTGGAAGATCCGGACTTTTTCAGTTTTACCTGCTAAGTATTTTTGCAGAAGATTTCACACCACGTTTCTTGTGTTATGACTGAGAGAGAAAAGAAAATCAGACGTATGGATGAATTTGTCTGGAAGGCAAACTCAGTGGTGCATGGCTCTCTTCTTAGCATGTTTACTAAGTGAAATGCTTGCAAAACAGCTTCATATACAGACTTGGGCCAGGTAAGACCAAATCAAGCCCTGGGAATCATCCATGCACAAACTTAATAAAGATAACGTCCCACAAAAGTTCTGTTAGCAAGACTAATGGGATCTAGGATATGATGTTTTGGGCTATGTTAGTTTCAGTGCAAATATATGATAAAATGAAAGACCTTGTTCGTGTTTTTCTAAATCATTGACCCACAGCTAGAAGAAAAGCAGAACTCTCATTAACATAACAGCTGTCTTAATGTGGCTTTAACCCTGTGACTTTTTGCATTCCTTATGGCTTCCTTGGTTCCCTTGAGACACATCCTGTCTCACACCACTCCTAAGATCTACAGCCTCACAAATTCCCCAGTACCTCTGACATATGGGTATTTTACCTAACCCAGCATGGAGGAAAGTTCCCAGTCAATCAATTATTAAAATACCAGAACAAAACCTTTCTGGATTAAAGATGAGCTGGGGTTGAAGTAGCCAGCCTGTGGGCAGTTTCCTAGTGCTCTCCATCTGTCTGGTACCCTTGAAGCCTGGCAGAGTGATTTAGTAGTGGATTAAGGGATACAGGATTTGCCTTATCAGCATTCAGCACCTCTCTATAGCCCCTTAAAATAGCCACCTATGATGGGCATGAAATAAAAGACGACCTGTGAAAAGAAAATAACCCTAAGAGACTTAAGACTGAGAGGGCTGGATAACCATACTGATGTAGCATTCAAACTTTCTTAGTCACACTTCTTTTTTTGGTAACAGTATGACAGAGATCAGAGATACCAAATTTTTTATGGCTATATAAACAAAGATCTCTTTGACTGCTCCCTGATCAAACATCATCTAAAAGAGCTAGCTCTTTGCACCCTGAGTCTGACTGAGCCCAGAAAATTATTTTCTTCTCTGGAGCTATAAGGACGGATTTTGTAGAGTTGTTTCGTGTTGTCTAGGAAGTTATTTAATTGATTACAACTGGACCAACTTTGCTGTTCCCTCAGTCCCCCCACGTAGGGGTTGCATCTCATGTTTTGTTTTTTCTACCCTGCTGCCTCTATGCTTCCTCTCTCCTTCTATTCCCCAAGGCGGTCTCTGAACACCCGTGAAAGGAAGAGTCTTAAACCGCCTAATCATCTATTTTCTCACTTTCCCACTGTTGAAGGGTAACCAAATGCATGTTTCTAAACTGGTTGGGGGGGGAAGTTGCCTCTGGGCTGAGATTAAATTTAGAACATTTCAGCCCGTAAGGGGAATTTCTTGAAAGCTACAAGCAACTGAGAACAGACTTTACACTGTGAATGTTATTTGTGTACTCAATTGTGGGGATGGGAAAGGCTTTTGGGGAAAGAAGTGTTGCAATGAACTCCATGTTGCAAGAATCACGAGATGTATAACTATAATCACTGCAAATACTAAGTATTAAGCACTAAATACTAAGCACTGTGCGTAATAAGTCATTAAAATGCTCCCTGCAATTACTCCTGCATTGCCTTTCCACTCAAGGACCATTGAGTCTTTCTCCCCCATGTTTGAGCCTAGATATAGTATGGAGCCAGGACAACCTCTTTGGGCACTTCCAAAGGCACCCATCTCTTTCTGCACATTGGATGCAGCAGGAAGGGGAAGGTTCTTTGGTCTTGTGCATTCATCAGATACAATTCAGAATGCATCAGTAGAGTCCCAAAGGCCTAGGATGACCCTGTATTAAAAAAAAAAAAAAGCAGTAGTAATACCCTGGGAATGTGAAGTTAAAGCTTCATGTGTTGAGGGGAAAAATTGTAGACATGCAGTGCTTTACTGGTCCAGTTTAAAAACCTCATTAGAACCATCATTAAGTTGCAGAGTAGGCCCTTAAGGTCTGTGGCCTATTTGTACTGACTCAATCTGAAGGCAAATTCCAAAAGTGAGTTTTTCACCAGTGTAGATGAAGATCAAAGACCTTCTGAGCTTCAGAGCAGTGCGGTTATGGTTTCTGTAGCAAATGGCGCATAAGGAATGAAGTGGGCAGCATCTTTTCTGGCCACCTTTTGATTCCCACATCAGGCTTATTTTTAGACATAGATGAACTGGGCAAACTTTTTCAGCAGTCTGGAGCCTGTTTCAGGTGGATGGTGGGAGGTGTTTACTTCCGTCTTTTGGCAAAGGATTTTTAAATAAGGTTCAGGTTTGTCCCATGGCAGGCGGAGGGCCAGGAGCCTGCCTTGGCCAATGGGGGCTGGCCAGTCAGACAAATCTTTTTGGGCTGTCTGTTGAAGGCAGGCCTCCCACATTATCAGAAATGTGATGCGTGAGTGTTGCGTGTTGCACCATGTTGAGGACGTGCCCCCAGCTGTATGGGATCGTGCAGGGCAGGAGGTCCTGCTGTGAGAAGTGGCTGGCACAGGGCCTTCCTGCTTAACCCCAAAAGGCAACAGGGGAAATTAGTTTATGTGTGTGTGTATATATATATATATCTATATATATTTAAATCCATGAATAATGGTGAAAAAGAAGGGGAAGTCAGGAAGAATTCTGAAACATGAGTACATCCCGTCCTGAAAAGGTTCTTCTCTGCCAAATCCCAGGTTTAAATTGGTTTATTGGTTTGCTTGAAAACTTCCAAAAAGAAAAATAATGTTTAACAAAAGAGCATGTCTGAAAATTCAGTCAGATCTCTCCAGGCTATTAGGATGGGGTTGAATGTTCCCATGTCAAACGTGTAATCAGCTTGTAAGCTTTTGTAAAAAGCTTATTACTGCCTCAGCAAATAAAAGAAGTCCCAAGAGCTCAGAAGTCTTGAGCAGCCAGAAGAAAAATTATAAAAATGTGTTTCATTAGGTGCTGTGCTGTGGTGGCATATTCTTTTCTTATTTCACTGTGGTACAGGGAAGAGAAGATGATAGTGGGAGGGAAAGGTGAGAGAAGAAATGATGACTCTTAAGCTAGTAGTAAGGTTTGAAAGCTCTCAAGTCCAATCTCTTAGCTTTGGTAGTCTCTTCTCAGTAGCAAACAGTGAAAAGCATTCATTGGGAGATCATGGGGGAGGGAGGATCTGTGCCAAAAACAAGTCTTTATTTGCCCTCAGCTCCTCTGAAACAGTTTGAGGTTGTATGCTGCACTGCACAGTCCTACAGCGAGATGGGGTGAAGGAATGTGGGACAGATTCAGGAACATTTAAGACCTTTCAGCAAATCTTTATAGTTATTCCTGATGTGGTTTATGGAGAATTTATAGAGTCTTTTCTGGAGGCTGTCCCTCTTGCATCTTATATAGGATAAAGAAAGAAAATGCTGTGTGCATTCTTGTAGTAGATAACCCTGTAATTGCTGATTCCTGCCCCCTTGGGGTAAAGGAGAAATTCTTATGGATAAATTGGCCAACTACAAACACATGCAGGCCCAAGAAGACATTTTTAAATGTAAAGGAAAAGAAGGGATGTGATTTTGATTCTCTTTTTCTGGTCCCAGCTGCCTAAGGGCTCAAATTAGTGTCGCTTTAATTTATAAATACACAGTTTGATTTGCTTATTACTCAATAGAATATTTTGCAGAGCTATTCAGCAGCAGTGTTTTAGAAGTATTTATGTAGGACTAGTCAATGCCTCCTCAAAGAAACCTGTGAGAGTTGAGTATGATGGATTGCACTAGGAGGTGGTTGGAAGTCCTTGTTCCC